CCGGGGCCCGTGGTTTCACAGAATTCTGTATCCGTGTCCATGTCCATGTCCTCATCATGCTTGTCGCTGCGCTGCCGCCGCCGCTGCCTCCTCGCCTCGCTTTTCTGGTCCTGGCTCAGCATAAACTCCACAAGAGCGCGCGAGGTGTTTACAATGTTCATGACTGCTGTCTTGAGCTGAGCGGGCTCCATGTTTGCCGTGGTATGGAGTCTGCAGTGGTCATCCACCCAGGAAAAAAGGCGCGAAATGGTTGTCTGCCGTCCGTTGCTTTCATGCAGGGAGGGAGGAGGTGAGGCTGTACCCAGAACCACCTGCGACGATGTTTTTTGTCCCATCAGGCACTGGGTTGGTGTCATCACATTCATAGAATATAGAAGGGATCTCAGGAGGTCATCTAGTCCAACCCCCTGCTCCAAGCAGGACCAACCCCAACTAAATCATCCCAGCCACCCCCCAGCCCTGCGGCAGCTCCCCTCCACCCTGAGGCCCCCCCCCGTGGCACTTCCCCTCCTGCCCTGAGGCACCCCCCTGTGGCAGCCCCCACCCCCCGGCACGGGGATCCGTGCGGCAGCTCTGACCCAGGGGAACGCCTGGGCTGCCGGCGGTGCCCTGACCCGGGGGTTCCCCTGGGCTGTCGGCAGCGCGCTGACCCGGGGGTTCCCCTGGGCTGTCGGCGGCGCGCTGACCCGGGGGGTTCCCCAGGGCTGTCGGCAGCGGCTCAGACTCCCTCTCCCTCCCAGCGCAGCGGCTGCTGTAAAAAAAAAAATTGGGGGCACCGCCTTTTGGTGCCCCCAAATCTTGGGGCAACCGCCTAGTTGGCCTAAATGGTAGCACCAGCCCTGCACAGAGGGGAGATTGGGGGGCTGACTCTTAGGAGGGAATCCCACCCCCAAATGCCCTGGCTGATAGCCACAAGACGTGAGTGGAAGCTTTGACTCAGGGGCAGGGCGGGCTCTAGGTTTTTTGCCACCCCAAGCAAAAAAATGTTTGGCTGCCCCCAACCCCAGCCCTGGTCTACCCCCCGCAGCCCTCTGCCGCCCCAGCCCTGGGCTCTCCCCCTCCGCCACCTGCCCCAGCCCTGGGCTCTCCCCTCCCACCCGCACCCCCTGCTGCCCCAACTCTGGGCACCTCCCTTTCCCCCCACCAGTGCCCTCCCACCCACACA